TGGTTTTTACTTGTATATAATTTTTAAAATATTTCAAAACCACATTTCCTTGCACGCATAACCGCGAAAACGAACACCAGTAAACTTGGGGCGAACCGACTTTGGGGCGAACTGACTTTGGGGCGAACTGGTCTGGGGCGAATGTGCATTGGGGCGAACTGACTGTGAATCGACAAAAGACACTAGTCTCCAAATCAATTTAGAAACGTAGCACAGGGCGACCGATGTGTTATTTGGATAACTAAACTAATGCAATGAAGCGTCACACACCACAAGGATTGATCAAGAACAAGACTAATATGATATATGTCAAAGGTCAATAGCATTTATTCAACCTTGCATGCAAATAGGGAAAATGGATTCCTGTACAGGGTGATACTATGGGGCAACTTCAACATACATTTCAGTTTCAATAATGCACAATGATTATTTACAACAACAGTCAACAGTAAACAAGAGTCCACTAAGTATCAGAATATGCCAATTATTGACAACAACAAGAGTTCACTGTTATATGCAATGTCCACGATGTCCTAACAACAGGGCGGTGCTTCGGCGTTGCTAAGGTAATAATGTCGCAACGCGTTGTTCAGCAATGTTGACGTTCACGCGCGGTCACACACATAACGGTCACGCACTCGTAACAAATTCAGGCACAGCCTCCGGCCTCTAGATCAACTTCAGCGAATAATACACACATGGGTTGACGAATATGGACTACAGTCAAACCTCGTTAGTGCGAATATCAAGGCCCCAGGTGAATATATTCGTTATAACCGGTGTTCGTAATAACCGATCACCACTAGAGGGCGCTTTACAGAGACAAACTAATTACCATAAGTCAGGGTAAACAAAACTATGGCGCCATTTTTAAACACTAGACCAAACATTAAAAACACACAAATAGTATTGAAATAAACGTTGTCATGTTTATTAAAATAATATTAAAATGCAAAATACAAATGTACTGTTCATTATTCAAAGTACATGTATAAATAAATGAATAAAGAAATTCTTAGTACGTCCATGCTGGATCGACTGAATTTGTCACGTATGCATACACAAACACACATGTACTCATTAGTCCCCGTTCGGACGTAGTCCGAAAACGGGGACTTATGGTTTGCCCTGTGTGCGTCCGTCC